ATAATAAATAAATATAAAATACTGATTATAAAATAATCAGTAAGGATTTACTATTGTGCTGATAAAAATACATACATGGTTAAACTCTCTCAAGCATGGAATGATTTCTTTTTTCTTAAATTGTTAAAAGTAAGGAAGAAGTTTAAGAAGCTGAAAAATTTGCTTAAAGCATCTTTACCAACAGCCATAGTCTCTAGAGGAACAGGACACAACCATAACGTTTTAATAACTTATGAAGTAGTTGGTTCCAAGCTGAAACCAACTTGGATTAAGAAATAGTACTTGGCTCATTAAGATAAAAATCTGCCCACTGTAAGGCTTGTAAAACAGACTAATTCAACAACTTGCATCTTCTGTTATTATGGTCACTTCCTACTCAGGGGAAAAAAAAAAGCTAAGGAGATCCCAGTATATGGGTACTGTCGTACTCCAATTAGCCAAGATAAAAACAGGAGCAAGATTAGAGTCTGGGTGAAGCAATATACAAATCTGAGGAACCAATTTCATTTTGATGGCAAAGCTGGCAGTGGTTTAAAAATAAAAATTGAGATAACGCTAGGTATCATCACCTTGCAGGATAAATTCAGTCTTAAATACGCCTGCCTAACACCAGTGCTCTTTTCCACACAGAACAATACAGAAGACAACAGTGAAGAGAAGTAACAGAGCTACTGCTATTGCTTGTAGATACGAATACAAGGTGCGTGGTTCGCATAGCTCTGAACATCCCACTGACTCAGGAAGGCATCGGGAACTTCGCTATCAAAAAAAAATAAATAAATGAAGTGGAACTATGGAAACAACAGTTGGGCATTGCCTTAGGTGTGAGGAGGCTGATGATCTTTGGGAGAGAAGACTGTCCTGAGACAGGTATAGCATCTGACCTCAGCAACCAGAATGTGTTGAGTGGAACAAGCTGTATCTGCAAGGAAAACACTGTCACTAACTCAAACACATGACTGGCTCTGATCCTTTCTGTAATGGGCTCTGAAAGACCCTATGGAAAAGTACACAAGAAAACACCAAGTCCTTCCCTAAAAATGGACAAGTGACCCAAAAGATATACCGGGAGGTGGTGGTGGTGGTAGAGCAGGGAAGGACAGCCCTGGAAAAGAAAAGCTCATTCTCTTTTCATTCACATGCATTGCAACGGGTTATTGGAACAGTGTTCATCCAGTGAATAACTTATGACAATTAACTACCAGGCCATTATGTTCTATCAGCACCTCTCCACACATGGTACATAAGCAAGAATGGTGTGTGCTGTTGCTCCCAGTTGAGATCAAGTTCTGTTTTCTGTATGTGCACATGGGAGCAAGGAAGTTACTTAGTAAGGTTAAGTTAGAATGAGACTGATTCATCTTGCTGGAATTAAGTCTCTCAATGATTCTAAGGATACGCAAAAGAAAAAAAAAACTAAAAGAAGCAGCATGATATCTTTTCTGCCCTATTACATACCATTTTATTCATCATACTTAACAAAGCTAAACCTGTACAAGTTTGTACACATAGCATTGAAAGAACTGTTCACTAGCTTAAAAAAAAAATAAGGTAACAAAACATCAGAAACATTAAACTTATGGTCCCTTTTACAACGTTTGTGCATCAGCATCAACAGATCAGCTCCGAGCCTCTGAGGAAAACACCTTCGCTGGGAAGCTCATACCGCAGCGCCCCCTGCCGGACCGCCTGGACCGGGACCGAGCTGGCACCCGCGGCGACCTCGACGTGACTTTACAGCTGTTAGTAAAGAATTAGACGTTTAAACAGTAAAGATAATTCAGATCGAAACTACATATACAGTTAAAGACATAGGTAAACATACATGACTGTTTAATTCAAGCTCACATTTTTACATAGGAGAAATATTACATTGCAATCTACCAGTATGGCTTTATCCATGAACAGGTGGGCATTTTCAGATTTAAAACCCAAAACTGTTGGTTGTCTAAGAAAACTAAAGAAAAACCCCATAATTATTAGTATTGTTAGGAAGAATTAATATCAAGAAGTGAAAGTGATATCAAAGTGAAGTTTTTAACATCAAGATAGACACCACTATGGTTTAGATTTGGAAGACATTTCACCTTCAATTTTATTATTTATCATAACTGTGGCAGCATATTTCATCTGTGAACTTTCAGAATACTGAAAAATAACGTGTCACTTTTTAATTCAATAGACTGAAATGCACCTGAGCAAAGCAAAATTAAAGTTCAAAGGCTAATGAAAGCATTTAGCTGACCTCAGTTTTGGCTTGTGGACATGCACAAAATTAAAAAACTAAAATAAATAAACAGCTTTTGGCACTTATCTACAGTAAACTGCAAGGTGATTTAAGAAAAGACAGTTAATAAACGTGATCAGGTCACAATGAAACTGTACAAGCCATTAGTTCACATTTAAACAACAAATCTGATTGCAGTTTTGAGCACAAACCATAACTTAAAATCCTATTTTACTCAAATTTGAAAAACTATATTGATTTTAAGTAGTTTAAATACATTCATTCCCAAAGTTTTACAGTAACTGATGATTTTCAATCACACACACAACCAAGTTATAAATCCCTGAAATGTGGATTTATTATAGGAATACTGATAAAACCTTAACAGAGATACAAATGGAAAGTCACATAGTGTCTTACACCTTAATCGTAAGTACTTGACCACCCTGGATTGGTAGATGTATCACTTCTACTGTTATACTCTAATACCATCCTCTAGGACCAACTGGTTTAAATTGAATTCACAACAGTTTGCAGTTACCTAAAAAAAAAGATGATCTTTTTCATTATTTTTTTAATTACACTATAAAATATTAATCTTCTAACCAGTATTTCAAAACTTCTGGAAACAGAATTTCCCAGGTATAATGAGGACTAAATATACTAAGTAAAGAGAGTCATTGTGGTGAATTTGAGAAAGCCATTTCAGAATCAGTGCCTTTGCAGAGGTTTAACATACAGCAGTGCGTCCCTTGACATAGGTTAACTAGTGCACGTTTATCTGTGCACTCTAGGGCCTTACTGTACCACTAGATCTTGGGACTTTCAAAGTTAATCTCATTCTGGCACTAACTTTCTGTGGAGTAGGGCAATTTCCAAATGAAAGGCACTGTTATATAAGTGAAAGCAGCAGCAGCAGCAGCAATGCAAATGGGCAGATTGTAACATACTGGAGAACTGATGTAGCCAACACGAGGTCTAGAATTAAGTACTTCCCTTAAAAAATATGGAAAAATATAGAACAGCTCTAGTGCACGTGTTCACATGCACACGTGACACTAGCCACTGTACAAGCTGAGACCTTCCAAGTATCTCAACTATTGTTTGGTTTGGTTTCCCCCTGCAATGGTTTTTTACACTTGGGCAGAAACAAGCGAAACTGCACTACTAAGTGACTTGCAGAATAACCTGTAGATGACCACTGCATCACTTCCTGCAGCCCACAGCAAGCAGGTCTGGAGAGTAAGTTGCAAGTGTGGTTCTCTCCAGCAGAACAAGAGCACAGGCATGCACTACCAGTTTGTCCCACTTACCCTTACTTCACACACCGTTTTTTATTTTTTCCCTCTCCAATTCCCCCTCCTCGTAAGAAAAAAAAAAAAAAATCATCTTGGGAATAAAGCTTTCCTTAAGGATAGCAAAACTCATGCTTGTTAGTCTGAATAAGGGATGTGCAAAACAGAAGTAATTTCCCTGAGGCAAAGATCTTCAAGTCATGCCTAGCTTACATTGTCTATTCTTATTTCAAGCTGTTGAAGTAATTGGCACAATGAGGCCTTGATCACTCACCGAGTCTCACAGCATTATCACAGTCTACATAACATTTATATAACAAAGTAGAAGTTACAAATGCCTCATTCTCTCACTCTATTTTGGTTTCTCACATTTACACATTAACATCCCTTTCCTCCTTAAGGGTGGCATTGGGCCTCGTGGGCAAAAGGTAGAATGACAAACTTCTACTGTATTTCAAGGTTGCCACAAATACTGAGTGCCTAAAAGGGCAATCATAGTAGTTATTAGACTCAATCCATGGAGTAACATGGTAAAAATCAATAGCCTGTTATATACAGGTCAAAGGTAGGTGATTTAATAGTCTTTTCTGGACTTAGATTATGAAAAATATTCAGGGAAATAAAACAAAAAAAAAAAAAGTAATGTCATGAATGCTTCCAGTTTAAAACATGCAAGAAGCAAAGCTTGAAACCAAGTCTTTCCAGCTTTCCCTTTTAAAATATAAATTGCACCTTTTTTATACAAAGCAATCCAAAGTCTAAACTGTAGTAAAAATTTGAAGCTGCCTTACAGTACCAAAGAGTATTTGTGTTCCCCATCTGAAATGCAGGCAACTAGTTTTCAGTCATTCTGCATATAGAGCCATATGCTCTACGCCTTTCTGCTTCAAAAGGGCCTGCAATTAAACGGCATGCCACTGGACGGTTACTGAACAAAAGGAAAAAAAAAAAGAAACAGAGTTTAAGGCCTTTTTCTCCTCAGGTAGCTGAAAACTGTGGCACAACCCATAACCAAAACTTAACATGCAAATTAGCACATTCCCACCCAGGGCTCCAGTAAAAAAAAACAAACAAACAAACAAACAAAAAAAACCAACAACAAAAAAAAAAAAAAAAAAAAAAAAAAAAAAAAAAAAAAAAAAAAAAAAAAAACAAAAAAAAAAAAAAAAGAAAAAATGTATCAGTCATTCTTTCTAATGTCTGTCACACAAGACAATCATACCATGAGCAAGCAACAGTGCCAGTTCAGCATTTTTAAGGTCTTCAAAAATTCATAGCAAAGGGCACTTCTGAGAAAGATAATCTTAAAGATTTGGTTTTAAAAATAGACACCACACTCACATTCAAGGGACGTTCTTCACTTTTAGGCCTTTGTCACAAATCGCAATCTTTATTGTTCTGAAATAAATGCTATAAACATAAGACTCAAAACAAGAACTCCAACTTTCAGTCTCAGAAGTGTGGTTCAATGCCCATATCACATGTAACAAGAAAATTTCCTTAAAAAAGGAAAAAAAAAAATACTCTGAAGTCTTTCTTAAGAATGAAAATGCAATCCTTTGTTTTTCTCATTAGTTTGTGTATAGGCGGGCACCAAAAACACTTTTGCATTTTCTTTTGAATTCTTGCTATGACGCTTGACGAACCTTTTGCCATTCAACAAATTCATCCAGAAGTACAGGCCCTGCAAATGGATGAAACGTGGAGTTATATTTGCCAATGTCTTTCAAAGATCCTCTCTTAAAAGTATAAAGGTTAGAACTATTGGTCTAGGCAATATCTGCGTCAATCCTATGGTCAAATACTTATTAATACTTAAAAATGACTACAATAATTTCAATCCAAGGGTGGCAAAAAGTGCACAATTAACACTACGCAGAACTATGGAAAAAAAGTGTTCCTGACATCTGATGGGTGCACTGAACTGAATAAAAACCACAAAAGATTATATTGTAAATCAATACTACTATTTCCTCCTTCCTTCCAAAATTGCACATAATAAGAAAACAGATCAAAATAGGATGCCTAATGCAATTCAGTCATAGCATGCTGGACTGCCAATCATGTGTAGAGTTCAGTACCCAGTACCAAGTACCAGCACCTAGACTACTTGATAGTTATATTAGAGTTTTATGTGAGTATAAAGTGAGAGTTTGCTGTTTATAACTCCATGTGCAAGTCTACAGTTTCATGTAGCAAGCGACTTCAATAGAACCTCACCTGAAAATAGTTTGGCTCAAGTACACCTTCACACCCCTCACAATCTACTACAATTAACACCTGCAGTTTGAAGATGGATGGTTAGCAGGACAGTTTTTCTATGAATTGTTGGAGAAGAAATATTTTATACCTTATTGTTTGTTACAGAAATTTGTTTTATGCAAACTGAAACTACTGAAATAATAGTTGAGTAAGCAAAATGCTATAAATACTTACATGCGCCATCTTCATCATAGTTGCTAAGATCTGCATGGACAGTTCTGCTGAACTCTAGCACATTGTACCACTGGTCCTTGTTCATAACTCTATACTTTGATTGCTAGAGAAAATAATTTCAGAACATTAAAATGTCAAGTAACATTTGGTAATGCTGCATCTCATTCCTCTTCAATCAGTTTCTAACTAACAATTTAATGGGTGACAACAGCTACTGTTTCCTTGGTTTTCCATTTTTTTTTAAAATACTACACATGTATATAGTTCTGAAACTGAAACTACATTAAATGGTTTCTTGAAAGATCAGAGCAAAATCAAAATACCAAGCAGTCAGGAAGTCAAAACTCTTAAGCTTTGAAAACTGCTAAATTTTTGTCTTTCCCTGAAGTGGGCATGCATAGCTCAGATAAATTTCCAGAATGAATGATTACAAGAATTTTCTTTTGTCCAAGGTACAATACAGTATGATAGTAAGGACATTTACTTTGCAACGTTAGTACTGATGTGAAGCCAGGGGATAGTCTCAAGCCTAACATGCTCCACAGCCTACACACATCCTAAGTCACCTGCGGCTGAGCTGACCAAAATCTTCCAGAGACAGCGAGTGCCCAAGGTACCTATATACTTTATCTACACAAAGGAAACTTGAAATTCAGCACAGATGCAGCTTAAAGGGCTCTATTATTTATTTTTAAATTTAACTTCATAGTCTAATTAAGATAGAAATTTAGTTGTCTTTGGTAAGAAAACTGGGGTGGGGCACAGGGATGCAGGAAACGGTCTGTGATGCATACAACATCACTGTTTCCTAAGCACATCAAGCAAGCAAAGAGGAGCAATATCCTCATTCTTGAGCAAAACACCACAAACCCTGAAATCTTTCCACAGGACAGCCCAACTACTATGCCATCATTCAAAAAAATTAAGGAAATTTGTACCTCCAGGTATTGATAAAATACTGAAAACAGTGGCCAAGTTCTTCCAAGCAGAAGAGCTAACATGGATTTTGCAGTATCAATATCAAGACTTCGCTGGTCTTTATCCTAAGGTTGAACAAAGAAAGCACAAAACCCACTCAAGTACACGCCTGTTGAATAATTAAAATAATAATTTCTCTAACATGCCAGTAGTCTTACCCTTGCAAAATCAAAGGCATATCTGTAGATATTCTTAAAGGATGAAATGTCATTCAATTGTGACCGCAAGAAGTCAAATTTACTCTGTAATTTTTCTGTACAATCACACCTGAAAATAAAACAAATGACATTAGAAGTTCAAAAACCATTTGGACAATGAAAAAAGTGCCAGCAAGCATAAATTAAAATCACCAAAATGCAATCACCAGATGTACAGGAGTAATACTATAACTTAAAGAATACTGAACATACTCAACATTTACAGCTTACTGGAATTATGAATGCCTGGCTTCTGTAAGCAAGTTTTCTTAAAACGCGTCAGCAACATAATAAAAAGTCTCTGCTTTACTTCTCATATAGCGGTCTTACATGCTGTGCTATTTATAGTCATACCCAACACCATCTTATCTTTCAATCACTGTGAAAGTTTGGAGAAAACAGTATTCAACATCCATTAAGGTGGTAAAATCCATCAGTAAATAAGGGCTTTATGCCACATTTCTTTGGGATAAGACCAAACCACAAACAAACCCTAAACACACACTTCAAGACTACGTATTTATGAACAGCAGGATTGAGCAGGCATTCTGCAAAACATGCTAGTCTACTTGTGTTTTATGACTGATAAATGCAAGCTCTGAGAAGCCCATCACCTGGATTAGTCAGTAGCTATTCAACTGAAAACTCATTGGCTGTATGAGAATGCACTGCTAGTTGACAGGATAAACCTTTGTCAAAAAAGAAGATCTCCACTTATTTTACTTAGCAAGGACTTTTGTTTCCAAATAGAAAAATTAATTTACACTTGCTAATCCTCCAGGAAAAACTCACTCAAAAGACGAATTACTAAATTATCACATTTTAGTATCATAAAATAATAGCTGCCATGATTAAAAAAAAAAAAAAAATCAAACCAAAACAAAAAACACCACAAACATAACAAAATCCACCTTGCCCTGTATCCTCAATGACAGAAACAATACTTTCAGAAATGCAAATGTACATAAATACTTCCTTTGGCAATGTGTTCCCCTTCTGGCAGCCTGCCTCTCAGAGAATACATCTGCATCTTTAGCAGCTCCTTGTGGACTTGTCACATCAGCCCACAGCGAGGGCCCTTCAGAAGCACTGCAGCAGGTTGCCCAGATGCTGTACTTTGATGCTGTACTTTGCCCACAGCTGATACTTCCTGTTCGTCAGGTCTGCTAGCATGTGTGTACACGTCTGTCTGTCTGCCCCTCTCAAGCTGCGACAAGAGCTGATGGAGCCTTTGGTTATTTCTTGTCTCTAGCAGCATCTACCTAAAGCAGCACCGAGTCCCAGCCAAGATCAGTGCTAAATAAATAAAAGTATTAGCTAATTAGGCTGAATATTCATATGACAAGAACTAATATATTTTGCAATAAATCACACATTAAGTTGAAAAGAAATCTTATTCAAAAAGCTTTGGTAATTTTATCTAAAGATGAAATTAGTTCTTTTTTGTCTTCAGCCATCTAACTGGTCTATGTATTCTGTTTAACCTTTAAAACAGTATTATAAACATAATGCCTTTGTAGCATAGCATATCTCTTCTTTCTATGTTCAAGCCCTCATACTGCAATAGTATTATCCTTTACGCTTTGTGACAAATCTACCTATTTAACACCCAACTAAATGCTCATCATTTTAGTGTACTACTGACATACATCAACTACATAAAATGGGTTTACCATATATTTTGTCAAACGTAATTTCACTGGGATTATTTACTACACCATGGATAAACACAAATTTCTGTATTTTTTAAATGTCTTTTTTAAGATTGTTAAAATTGTTCAAATAATCATAAATTCAAGTACAAAATAAAATTCCTGTTAGTGTTTATTGTACTATTAGCTATACGTATTTTAAAGCAGAAGTAATTCTCTTGAAAAAGCTGGTATGAAAATGTGGCTCAATTAAGCCTTAAGTCTCCTAAGCTATTGTCAACCTATTTAAAACCAAACAGTCAAACAGGTTACAGCCAAACAAACAGGCACCACTCTCTGAAGCCTGATGCAGGGACATAGCTCCTTCAAAGCCATTTAAGGCATTTCCATACCTGGCCACTGATTTGCTTCAGACTAGTGAGGTTAGGAACTGTCAAACTCCTCTTTTATGGAGATCTAGCTGCTTGTGTGGCTGTACCATAAGCATGATTACTGAGGTCACCCATACTTAGAATAATCTTCCTAGCAGTCAGAACAACCTCCTAATTAGCACAAGTGAATTAACACCAAACTCCTGTACAGGAACTAGAAAAAATGGGATTTTTTGAACTGCCTTTACTGAAAGATAGCATTGAATGAGGTTATCTCAAGATCAGCAGAACTAAACATTAGCTCACTACATTTTCTTCACATCCCGACATCTTATTTATAACAAAACTTAAAATTATCACCACAATGCAGTCCCATTTCGATTTCTATTGAGGTGGAGTTCATTTGAGGCATCACTAATATGGACAGTGATGATTCAATAAATCCTACTCAGACATTCCAGTGTTTCTTATTTCTTAATTATTCACACATCCTTGTCTCTTACTAAAAACTAGTGAAATGTATACAAACATTAAACCAAAACCATGTAATAGCAGTATATATAGTTTGAAGGTCTTTTAATCTACAAGAGTTCTGTCATCATCAAGCCCTTCAGGTGGTCAAAAGGAAATGATACTCATCTAGCCCATCCACTCTCTTCAAGCACTGAAGCACAGTCTTCTGAAATTTAAGCTACATGTTATAACAGGAGCATACAGAGGTCCAAGGAAGTAATGGCTTAAGAAAGCAAAGGGCCATCTTTTCTGTGCCTTGACAATGCTATAGGTTCACTATGTCAATTGACTTAGAAGCCTAGAGACCAAAGACTGTTTAGCTTCCAGTTTACATTGAATGCTATATTGGCATAAAAAAAAAAATTATTTACACTACGCTTTGTGTTAGGCTTACAAACATTAATAAGAAGGCAGTAACAAGCAAAAAGCTTGCTGGAAAAGCAGCTGGTATTAGTCGACCACTAAAATCAACCCAAGGAAGTTGTTTTTACTCATAATTCCGCAAACAGTAAGAAGTTACAAATCTGACTTCTCTGCCCCTTTGACTTGTACCTAAAACTGTGAGATCATGACCTTGTCTTCCCCTCAGACGGAGTCTAATTTGGTTTTCTCTCTTTTACCTGACCATTCGTTTTCAAAAGCTCAACTTTAACGTAAAATTTTGCTCAAATTCTAAGGATAAAATAATAGCCAGTGGGAAGTACTCAAACAATCGAGCGGCTTACACCCCACTTCCCTACATGTGAAATTCTATTTACCTAGTTCAAACAGTTACTTCTGTGAGTTTAATAAAATGGACTGTTATCCTTTTCCATTCACCTTCATTTCATATCTAGGTGGTTGTGGTTTTGTTGGTTTTTTTTTTTTACACTATTAATTGACAATTACATGAGTATGCTTCTCCTTCAACTCAGATACGCAAGGTTAAACGCTCAAATCCAAGTTATAGTTATTCACTCTCCAGTGGCTTTAAAGCAAATGTAGATGAACAGTCACTTCCTGAGGGCTGCTCATTTCATCCTAAGGAGGTGATTAAAATACCTGATAAATTGCCCAATAGATGTACTTGTTTCTCTCTGCTGACTATAAAAAAAGCTTCAGGTGATTAGTTTAGAATCAGGCACCTAGCTTTCATATACATACATATATATATATATTCATACACACAGACACGTATACATGTAGGATAGAATTCACCCTAACAATACGATATACTAGAAACCCCACTTCTAAAGCTTAACTTGTTTAAGTATCATAAGCTGCTACCTAGTGCTTGATCCACCTTGACAGTGTATACTTTATCACGTATTTATTTTTATATATGTCCTCTCTACAGAGCAAACATCATCAGCATATCACATAACCACAGAGAAGAAAAATGCCTCTTCAAGATGCAGGCACTCAAATGTTGACATTAACAGAAGATTAAATTTAGGTGTCTAAGCTTTAGGTGTTGCCATTCAGAGAGGTCTAGCCAACCAGTCTGTAAGAGCAATTCAGATGATCAGTCACTAGGTCTTAAGACAAACTTAATGCCTCCCTTGCCTCCGCTACATTGACTAGATCTCCGAAGACGGCAGTTAAGAGTTTAAGAAATCCAGCTCTTGCATAGAAACCACACATTTAGATGTCTTACTGTAGAGCTGAATTCCACCCAACCCTGTTCATGCAATTACCTTATGTGACATTCCACATACATTACAGAATCCTTATTTCAAAATAACTCTAACTGAGAACACACTCTGGGCTTTCAATGCATTTTAATGTCATTTCTTCATGCAAAAAATAAAATAAAATAAAAAAAATACTCTATTGCTTTGAGAGTGTAAGATTCTTCTCCTCCAAAACTTCTGTCAGATCTTTCAAGAGAAACTAGATTCCTCCATTCCAGATGGAATTCCATGACGTGATTCTCCCTTCCCAGTAAGCACAAACAGCACAAGCACACAGATTTATATTTTTTGTCATGGTTTAACCCCAGGCGGCAACTAAGCACCACACTGCTTAGTGGTGTGGTGCTCACCCCCAAACCAGCACATCTTTTTAAGCCAATGAATCTTGAACTCCTTTACATGTGTGTCACTGCTTCATCCAGATGCTTAGTCTGCAGCCTGCTATTAGAGCACACCCAGGGAACATACAAGTTAACTGGTTTAAGCTTAGGCAACTGTTCTGATCTCAAGTCTGGTTATATAAAAATGCAGAGAAGGACTATATTTTCTGTCTTAAACACATTTAGCCTACAGCATGACCAGCTCTATTCTTCAAAGAGCCAGAAGATTCCTAATTACAGCAGACTATTAGAAACAAAGTCTGTAATATTGGTTCTGAAGGGGTGCCTGATTTCACATGTCTTTGTGTTTGCATCCTGCTAGACTGGCTAACTCTTGAGAGCCTCCATTTGGCCATTAAAAAAAAGTACTCAGGAAAATCTAAAAACTTATGCACCCAGAATTTAATCTCTGTCACCCTAGCAATTTAATCATTCCAGCTCTTCCTAAATTTAAGAGCTTCTGACAGTCACAAAACAATCAAGGTATCTGTTGGGAGCCCGATCACATATCAAATAATATTTGCACATGACTGTCAGGTCAGAGTCACTTACTCCACTGTCTTGAATAACCAGAGGGTATCTGCCCAATACATTTTCCCAAATCAATTCACAACTGATAAGGCAATTCTGCCAACCCCAAGGATCAAATCAGCCCCTCTTTCCCACCATGTTGTAGCTGCAATATTAGCTCTCTGATATTTTTCGTACTGGATGCAGTGTCATAACAAGTTACCCTTAAAACATTCATGTACCATAAGCAGTTTCATGAAGAACAGTAAGTGACAACTGAACTGAGCCTCAAGAAGCTGATTAGTTTCATGGAAGAAGCAACCTCTTCAGGCAGAGCATTATCTCCCCAAAGATTCTTAAAGAAGTTGTTACTTAACCTAAGTATTAAGCATAGCTTCTGACCTGCATCTAGTAAGTAACACTAATAACCAGAACTACTGTCAATGCAGTCCTCACCTATAAAGCTTAGAAATCAGCAAAAACTTTCTAGAATACCAATGCTGAGATCAGCTTATGGGTATCTCCACATCTAGTTATCTCTGTTTAGAATAGTATTTTAAAATATTTTCTGTAAGAGAAAGAAGACACAAATACCTGACTTACTAGGGTTAGACAAAACTATAATTTGAGTGAACTCATCAGGTTCACAACTTGGCGAACAACAGTAGCTACTTCCAGTTATTGACCAAGACCAGACCTAAAAGCAAGAGTTTCTGTGTTTTATTGCTAACGCACAAGAAACTGAGGGCAAGTTCCTGCTACAAACGTAACATTAGAACGTTCTATTATATATGTAAAAGAATTCTTACTGTAGTGAGGTCATTCCTTTTAACCATTCTTCCTTGGTAAAAAATCCCATGCTTTCGGCCTCTAGCTTCCAGGCTAAAACTAACATAATAATCTAGGAAAATAAAACAGAACAAAAACAAGAACAACAGCAACAAAAAACAAGGTGAGAAAAAGGAGTCAGTAAGAAAAGACTGATTTCTAGATGTCCAACCTAAAAACTATGCATTCAAATATTCCAGTAATTTTACATACTTGCATTTTATATTTGTTACAATTTAATGATCGAACAATGTGCAATCTTTCTCTTAATTTCAGTTTCTGAAAAAATGAGACATTCCTATAATAAACCAAACAGAAAACCTCACACGCCAGCTATGCATAATTGATGTACTGAGCTAAAATATCTTGCAACAGCTCCTAAAATCAGGATGATAAACAGCTTTTTGCTTACTGAGAGCTTTACACAGAACTGAAATGTTACCCAATACTCCCTTTTAAAGCATTACTTGAATTGTGCAAGAAACCTACATTCTCAGGCTCAACACCGATGTCTTCACAGAACTTTTCTATTCCTTCGGGTCCCACCACTTCATCTGGACCTTCAAAACCAAAAAGAAACCAGACTGAAATCTAAGTAACGTTCACTCAAAAGGGTTACACACAATAGTCAGGCTATACAGCATACAAGCTACCTTTAAGAACACTGAATTACACTATGAAGTAGATTTTATATTAGAACCATTCTATGAACTGCAAAGTGGAGACAGGTATACTACATATGAAGTAATACTATGAGCTAAAAGCAAAACTAAACCAGAACCTTTTATGTTGTGCATTGCCTCCTTACAACAGCAGACAAGCTATTTTAGTTCGTGTATATGTGAGTTTTCAAGACTCCGAGTTTCCCCTTAACATAGCTTGACTCCAATAACTGTGGTGGTCAACTATTTTGAAGACAACCTGGGTATCATTGCTCTGTGCTGAAATTATTCCATGAATAATGTTCTTCAAAGACTTATTTTAACAACAACAAAACAATTAATTCTGTCTGAGCTCCTCCTACAGATACTACTCTTTCAATGGTGTTAGCATTATGGGTGTGCAACAGAAGAGGATGAATCATCAAATAATTTAATGTTAGTTTGATTATGCTGAGTAGTATGAGAAGAGTGGTAACAATAAAACAGAAAAACGCTAAGCATGTTAGCCACGTACAGAGCAGAAGAAGGTTTATGAATGCAGTGAAAGTAACTTAAGACCACAATAGTTAATGTTATGCTGTCACTTCTACATTTTAATACAAAAAAAACCTCCAAAAAAGCAGTAAAATAGCATATTTCGAGAGCACATACAGACACTCTACAACACACTTTGCTTCTCTGAATCCCTCTCTGGTTTCAGTTATTTCTAAGCTTGGTCCAAAAAGTTGCCCACCTACTGGGCAACCAAATATTAGAAGGCCTGTTGACATGCTATTTTGAGGTATCTCGATCATTATGCTAAAACTGTTCAGTGAATGTGAACCCATCTAAAAGATAAAGGCTTTATCTTCCATAACAACATGCCATTTTACGATTTTTTGGCTAAGCTTGCTATTTATATATAGACAGAACAGCCTTTTTTTTCTTCCCCTTGATACCTCCATCTCATCCGTATCCACTGCTGTTACATTGTAAGCAGAATTCTTTTTGAGTTGGGTAACATACTTTGAATAATTGCTCGCTATGAGATAAGAACATAGTCATAAAAACTGTTATTTTCCAGTAAAAGCAGCCATTCTGAAAATGCAATTGGCATTTGAGATCATAAACCCTTGAAAAATGTTGCGAAGAACATCTTGCCTAGGTAAGCAAGACAAAACACTGCTATCTGGTTTTGAGAAGTCCTTACATAGAATGCGTTTTTTAACGCACTTTAACCTGTAATTTTAAGTTACGAAGGGAAACAAACACAAGGATTCACTGGTAATGACAGTGGGTTTGTCCCAGAAATCATATGTACAATTCATCTGTATGTATCTTTATGTAATTTTCTCTTTTAACAGAAACATTTAATCTCCTATGGTGCGCAATTTCACTGCAATTCTATTTTATGCCAGAAAAATGGCCTATTTTGATTACTGGTTAACTAACAAAGCATAGCCTCCTACACTCAGTTGTTGAGTCAACAACAAAACCAAAATTTACAGGCCTTAAAAAAGCTAAAAGTATGTGCAAGCACATTTATCAGAAGAAAACCGAGAATTATTAGTTTCCTTAGAAAGAGTCTTTATGCCTAAAGAGTATGCCTCATGCCTAAATTAGAAAGCAGATTACTAGAACCAGGAGTGCTCATTACAATGGAAAGACTGCAAGGAAAATACATCAGTTCTGACAAATATACTCAAACCACTTGCTGGCAAATAGATCATCGGCTCATTGTATATTGAGAACTGCCCATTAATGAGTTTTAATCACCACCTTGTTATGATGGATTCCAATCAGTGACTAGACAAGAAAATAAATTATTAACAGTTTACAGATCCTGGATTTCTAACCATGTAATTGATAAATAAATGGCAGCAACAGTCCAATAAGTTCTGCAAAATGCACATTCTGCATATTCACTGAAAGCAACTATTACTTGGATAGCAATTCTGATTTATCTATCTAACTATCTTTTAATGTCCTGACTTCTACTTGTCCATTTCAAATCAAGAAGTAGAATCACTTGGTATATCCTAGTTCAACACTGTACTGTCCAACAACAGTTATTTCATTTTAAAGAATGCCATGGTAAGTTATAAAGTATAAAGAAGGAAAAGTCAAAATGAACAAATACTGAAAAGGCCATAGTAAAAGCTATACTAATTCAAGTGCTCATTATAAGGAATCAAATATGGACATAATTTTCATGTCTACATCAGCATAAAAAAAAAGCAAAATGCAAATATTTGATGTACTCACTTATTTTAAATAAAACCATATATAGTTTTAACTATGAATCCACTGCTTATTACCTGCATATTCATAAAACCAAGCCAGGCACTTTTTGCTTGAAAAATGTTCTTCTCCACTTATCACTTTACCAGAGGCTTGTGATCTGCAGTAGCTTAGAGAAACACAAGGATGATGTTATTTTAATATGAGAAATGGGAAATCATTAAAAATTAAATTCCATATTGTTTATTATTAGTTCAGACCACTTAAACTGTTTCATGAAGTCAATATACATAACAATGAAGCTGAATTTGTTAAAAGGCAACTATCTGTCATCCTATTTCAACACTTGTTGGAACATAAGATTACCTTGTAATACAACCCTCCCATCGCCCAATTTATTGCAACTATTACTTTTTCTGAAATGCAAAAGTAGTATCTTGTAGATATTAAACCAAAAAACCCACACACAGATGGTCAAAATATCACTAGTCAGTAATTCAAATGCCTTATCTACTTGTATTTATACATACAGGCATTTAAAGTCAGGTCTCTAATAAGCAGCATGATCTTCAAGAGTGCTGAATATGCACAGATCCCATTTAGGTCAACACGAGCTGCAGTCTGACATATTTAAAAGCCAGGCTATTTATAGTTAAGCATCCAAATTTGGGAAGAAAACTCCGTCAGTTTGTTTACATTAAATATGTAACTAAATATCTGTAAATTCTATAGATGTTTGGTACACATGCCAGAACAGCAATATGCAATCTATGGTAAGACTAAAAATGCTCAGCACACTCAGCTTTCCCCCCACCTTGTCTTCATCATATGACACAGTTTCCCTAGGAACTGAATTTCCATAATGTATGGTTTTTTTAAAGGAATACATAGGATAACTGATTTCTTTCAGTAAAAACACTGACCACATGAAAGCATCTTTAGTCAGTATGTACTTGCAGTACCTTTTCAATGCATGCTTCCAAATACAAGTTACAGACTTTTAGAACAAGCTAAGATTATCTAAGAATGAGGTAGAAGTCAATTTTATGAGAGGATTTAAAATTATGCAGCTCCTACACTGCAATTTTAAAATGAAACTGTCAAGGAGGAAAAGTATAGTTCAATCCTGAGAGGTAGTGAACAAATTAATCTCCCAGGCACCACTTTATGCTTCACTGAAAAAGAAATCGACACTCTCCAAGACAAAGCCTTATGTGCTGAAAGCAAGAATCAAAGATGGAAAAAAGTCCATTAAAAACACAAGTCACCAGAAAGACACAGAGCCATACAGTATGTGATTGCTTGTTGTTTTTATCCACTTTAACGCATATCCATTTGTAACCACTGCTTTTATTAAAGAATATTACTAATATACTGCTATACAAGAATGCTATGTCAAAAATGCCTGTATATCTCACATGTTCTGATCACCTAGTATGAACTCTCATTTACATTACAGGCTTTGCACACTAACTTCCTGGAGAATCTTCTTTTTTTAAGGGGCTTTCAAAAGTTTCGTGGTTTTTTTTTTTTTTTGTTTGGTTTTTTTTTAAGAAATTAAGACCATAAAATTTTGGCCAGCAGTGTTCAAGATAAACTGGAACAGATGCAGAGAAGAGCTATGATGAGCAAGGAAACTGAAAATCAGTATTACAAATCAGAAGAATTTAGCTTGTTTATTTTAGCAAGATAAAGCAAAAGAAAACACAAGCACTCACTCCAAACGTACTATGGAGCAGAAAAATAACAGAGGAGTGTTCCATTAAGGATAATGTGGGCACCTGAGTGGTTATTAACTGTATGAGTAAATTTAGACTGAAATTGAAATATCACTAGTGACTACAGAAAGGGTGCTCTGGGACAGTTATCCAAAATGAACAGCCATAACAAAATAAAGGCCAGGGTACTTTTAAGCTCAAGCTTGGTCAACCTCTGAGAAAGGTCATATGCCACAGTGTCTTGCAATAGCCATTCCTGTAGTATTGATTTCATAAGTCCTTTGTATTCTTAAGTCCTCAGGATGTTTGTTGTAACTACTGGTTTACTGACATACTTAACAAGTCCTAATAATTGAAGGCAGCATACAGTTACTTTAGGGAAGCCACACTGGAAGCGTCTGCTACACCATCGTAATGGTTTATTGTTCTAATGGTAATCTTTGGGTACCACAGCATTAGTGGTCTTTTTATGAAAATTAATGAACAAGATGCTTCAGACTCCTGTATTTACTAGAAAAAACCTTTCCAGATTTTGTTTTGGAGTGTGCTGACCTCTCTTTCCAGTTCTCTGCAGAAAAAAAAAAAAGAAAAAAAGAAAAAGAGACGATTTAATGCAGACACTGAATATGGGTAACCTTAAAGCGAGGAGACGTGCCCAGCCCAGGCACGAAGGCAAAAGATTAGACTGAGTATGGGGACAAATGCTGGAACTGGCCCAACTGACCCAGTGAAAGTCAAAACCAGCCGGGAACGGGAGTAGTTCCCCGGTGTTTCTCGCCTGAGTGTGCACAAGGTGAACTCAGCCGCTGCCGCCCGCACGGCGAGC